CTCCCCCAAACCCTGAACCCCTAAACCCCTAAACCCTAAACCCCAAATCCAGTTTATTCCGAGTCAACAGTTCACGCTGCGAGGAACACAATCCTCGGATGCAGTGGACAGCTATCTCGGATTTCCTGGCTGCTTTGATTCTGGGTTCGGGTTTGAATGCTTTAGGGCGAAACCCTAAAAACCCGGACAATCCTTAATCTTCGAAACCCTAAATATTCGCAGACCCTAGAAGCCTTAAACTCCCAAATGGGGTTTCCGAAAATAGGGGACCCTAATATAGTACCTTAAAATAGTAGGATCCCTATTATAAGGACCCCAAAATGAGGTAGCCCGAATTTTCGGAAACTCCCCAATGGCTAAAGTCTTTAAATCGTTTGGGCCAGTGAAACGGTTGGCCGTTGAGTGCAAGCCTGCAAGGGTGTGTTCGGGATCCTGCGCATTCCTCATGCTACGGCCCTTACACTCTAGACCTTAAAGCCACTACGCCCTAAGGGCACCCTAAAACCTTTAAACCTCCTAAACGCCCAAAACCGTTGAAACCCCACAAGAAGCCAGGATGGATACAGAAGGTGTCAACTACTGAGCTTTTGAGTCCGATCGCCAGCCGAGGACCAACCCAACTGAGTCTTTTGGGGGGGCTGTGCACTTTTGGGCAGTCAGTTTTACAAGTGCGGTGTTGGGTTTTTAGAAGGCAGCGGCTTATAGCGGTTTGATAGTGAGGGGGTCGGTGACACAGGATCAGCCGAAGAGGTGCCCAAATGATTAGAACAGGGGTCTGGCGTTTCAGTTGTACCACAAGAGTATGCAAGTCTTGCCTAGGTCTCAAATCTTTATTGATTCAAGCTTTGACGGCGAACCTGAACCCCGCCCCCTGCCCCTAACTCCGCGGAGCTTTCACGCACACCCTCCAATCCCAGAATCTTAAAACTCGTGAGATGTAGGCCTCCCGCCCGAAAGCCTTATATACTATTAGTACAGCCCAAGACCCCGAACGGCCCTAGTCCCGACGTCCTCCAGCCCAAAGCAAATTTGAGCCGCAAAACTCCCCAGCCGGAACTCCCCAACCAAGACGTTTTAGCTTCAAGCCAAAGTTCAAAGCCCTGAGCGAACACACTGCAGCACAACCCTAAACCCATAAACCTGGGAGGACAGACGCGACAAGAAACCTTAGACACCTTGACCAACCAAGAGACATCGAGCGGCAACCTCGGTCTCCGGGGGCTCCCCGACTTCGCGCAAAAGGTGTTTAAGGGAGGCTCTGGGAGATGTCCCTCACGTTTTGGTGGGGTTTTGAAAGGGTGCCTCACGGCTGTCTGGATTTACCACTGTTTGGCTTCAAGGGATGTTCAATGTGGCTTTGGGGTGTGAAATATATGGAGCTCACAAGAAAATTCGAAGAAAGGGTGGCCAGAATATGTGGCAACTAGTCGGTCCGGCAGGCTTCCTAGAGACTCCAAGATCCCTTAATTAAGGAATATACCCTTAAACGGATCCCTCATATGATTTCAGGTACATTCCCTTAATTCGGGGAGATTGGAGTCTCTGTCTTCGTCGAAACGGCTTTGCTTTCTGGAGCAAGTGTGGACATAGCAGTGAACCCTAAACGGTTTAGGGTTTAGGGTAAACCCCTAAACATGCATAGAACCAAGCCGAGTCTTGAGAATCATAGGCAAAAGGTGTGCAAGAATCCGCAGAAGACGAGCAACACGGCTGATGCGGGTTGATTCCCCAGGTGGGCAGATAATGTACATCGAGCAGCCTGAGTTCAGGCAAGAGGGACGTTCTAACGGATGGACATAGACACTGTGGTTTTCGATGCCCGAACACCCAATACGATCGTTTGAGATTCGAGGCTCCTTGTGGTCGAGAACTTGTTTATGGGAATTGGTTCGACCGAATCGTTATCCACCCACGCAGCTTCTACTCAACTCCTTTTTGCTTTTAGGGCGCTAGGGCTTAGGCAGGTTCGGTTCGTAATCCTTAGCCAGTGGTGGTGGCGCGGCATGGCAAGTTGCAAAGCCACCGACTAAAGTCTCAGCAGCTGGCCCCTTGACACTCAACTCCGTCCGAAAACCGCTGCACGCACATCTTGTTTTTACTTCGTCGATGATTCTGTTCACTTGTATGACTTGAATTCTTCTTTTTTGCAATGTTCTTGTGGATGAATCTGTGCATAAAGCAGGAGTTCCGGCACATCCCACTACTGTTGCCCCGCGTCCCTCCCGCTGCGGGCATTAATTAGTAGTGTACACCGCCGTCGGATCGCCGATCAGACAACCGCAATACAAAGAAACAAAAATGTCTCAGTAAACATTGCATAAGCACCTGAAAAAAGGTGTTCTAGATGATGTTGCTTTTGAACTTCCGTATTCTAACAATGCATTGCTCATGTTGGGTATCCAAGGAACCCTAAGCCCTGAACCGCCAAACCCCAAACCCACTGCCTGGAGAAGGGGTGTCGCTGCGGCCCCCACCGAATATAGACGACAACCTCCGTAGTTGAGGCAATAATAACAACGGTCATGAGTCATAACCATAATCACAATAATAAGCAGAACGATCGTAGTAGTAGTGATTATCGTACCAATGAAGAGGATGAGAAGAAGACCAATAAGGATACTCATAATCACAAGTAACATGGGTAGTTGTCAATATTAGGGTCCCTTTGCGGGTCCCTATTTTAGTACGGCACCTCATATTTAGGGTGCCCAAAAAAGGGCCATAACCCTAAACCCTAAACCCCCCTAAACCTTTTTTAAAAAGGTGCTTACAAAAAAAACCTAAACCCATGACTCTCCGCTGCACCTGGACGAGGCAGAGGCTGCGACCAGAACGACCCGGCTTCAAGTCCCCGTCGCTGCGGATCGGTGCGGGACCTCGCTTTGGGAGCTGTAACATGGGGGCCTAAAGAGATTACCAATAATTACTATAAGGGTTACTATAAGGGATCTATAAGACTACTATAACATAGGGGCTTAAACAATTACCTGTACTATTTTGGGGGGCTCCTTATTATAATTCTAGTCTAATGGGCCCCAGAACCCTGCTCTAATTTATTAAGACCCCTTTACTAAGAGTCTTCAATTAAGTCGGCCTCTCTTGCGCAAAGCTAAAACTGCTTAGCACAAGCGATGTTCTTAAAGATCGCCGAGGTCGTGTCGATTCGTGTCGATCGTCTGAGTCGCTGTCGCCCAGGGTTCATCGCCAGACGACGGCTATCGCCGTCAGCATCATCACGATTATCAACAACATCACCACCGTCGCCAGCTTTTCGAAGGGTTTAAGAAAAGTTGTGACTTTACGGGGTTCCGGCAGGCTTCTCGTTGCACTTAATTACTCGGCTAAGACTCTCTCAGAGTACAAACTCTCTAGGACACGCGGCCTGGAAACAACACCGCTTCGAAGCCCGTGTAAAGCCCTCATCAATCCCTGAGGTTCCCGTGGGCGGATTTTTCGCCGCTTGAGCGATCCAAGCGGCGTGGCATGCTATCTCGGGAGGGTAAGTGTGGTGGAAGAGGGTAAGCCGCCTTCTCTTGTGACAAGGTAGGCGGCGGCTTTGTGTTTTATGTTTGGAGTATGGATCGTGCTCAATAAGTTGCGAAGCTCCTACGGCGCAACCATCTTTGTCCCGAATTCTTAGTCCCCTGGTTTGGGCGCAAGGGTTGGTATGCTTCTCTTCTGTCGTGTTCCTGTCAGCATGGTCTTCTTGAGTCGTTTGGGCCTAGACTGCAGCCAGACAGACAGCCGAGGCAAGTGTTGCAGACATGACTAGGCAGAGATGTTCCAGGGACTTTTCGTCCTGCTACTGGCTATGCTTGAACCGCCCTATATGCTCAACTCTGAGCATAAAGTCTCCTTAGAACTTATTTTTTCATGGTTCATATACAACCCAAGAGAATATCATTAAGATATCATCTTTTTGTGGTTCTAAGGGGAGTTAGGAACAGAAACCTGAAAGTGTTCTTGACTAGACATCTTGGCCCTGTACAGGGTGCTCAAAGTGCTTGTAGATCAGCACTGCCATCTGGGCACTCTTTGAACGAGGAATACATTCAGTAGCTCATGTCAGGCCTTTCTCAACCCCATGCCCTGCAGCTACTCCATGCTCGCAGGCTCCATTCCCACCTCGCAGAAGGCCCTGCCGATCCCCGCAAGCAGTGCTGCCCGCGTCAGGGCCCCTGAAGGAGTCTGCGGGACGTCGTGCAGGGAGTTCGGGGGTTTAAAGCTGTGCAATGCTTTGGGCCTAGGCTTTAGCAGCTGGAAGAACCCCTGCAAGTTGAAAGGTCCTGCTTTTAGGAAGACCTGTGCAGGCCTGGAAACGTAAAGAAACAACGGCTCACTGTGGAGAGGGAATTGAGGGGTAAAGGGGCCTCCTAGAGTCGCAGCAATGCATACCCAGGCCCCCAGATCTAGAAAGTAGATCCCCGAATTGGGGCCCTATACTACGAAGGGTACTTTATAGGAACCCCCATTAAGGGATCTACTTTTTGGATCCTCCCGAAAGTCTGGGTAAACAGTGAGGCATTGGTTGTTCTTCGATGACAGTCATTGACCCAAGCTGCCTGATCAATCCTCTTTCGTAAATGGTCTCGCTGTGTACACATCCGGGTTGAGGCTGCGCCGCCGGCTCTCGTCAACCTGCAAACACACAGGCAGGCCCTGACTGCTTCAACACGTCGGCCCTGGGCCATGCTTTATCCTAAACCCTAAACCCTAAGCCCAATACTTTAAACCCAAAACTCAAAAAACCCTTACCCTTCAACTCTTTGCACCGCAAACGCCTGACCTGAAGCCTCTACACATCGCCCTCTCGAGCCCAAAGACGCCTCAATCTTGCGCTGCGCATTGTGAACGAATCGCTCTCGGTATCTATGCGTCCAATTGCGTCCAGGGTGCTTGCATTCATTTCGCTGACATGTCTGTGCTGGCAGCTTCTGAGATCGAAATCCGAACCGTCGGACGTCGCGGTAAAGCCTGCCAGACAGTCTCTGTGAGCAAAGATGGCTCCGTTGACGAGACTCGTGAGCTGCATCGTGGTGTCCTTGCCTTTGGCAGTTTTGACGCAAAGTGACAGCCAGTGTGCTATGCAGCTGAGCCACACCGTCCTGAACAACAAGACCAACAAGTCCGATGCGGAGGACTTCGTGAACAAAATGGTGCAGCAGGTCTTGAGCTACCCCGCGCCAGCAGTCAACTCCGAGGTCTCCGTCAGCCGACCTCTTCTCTTCATGCACCAGTACCTTACGGATACTTAGAAATGATTTTTGGATTGGTGTTTCCTCTAATCCCTCAGAAACAGCCAGAACTATGATTGTTGCTAGGGGTCGAAGTTCAGTATAGGTACCGGGCGGGCGGCACGACCCTGCGCCAGCTTCTCTACAATGTCTCTGTCAACACCGGAGTCAAGGCTCACATCGCTTGCTCTGGCGGTGTGGACTGTCGGGAGTTTCAGATTCGCGAGGCACAAAGGGCCAAAATGGGGACCCCTACCCTATAATGGGCTGTATAATGGGTATATAATAGGTATATTATGGGTATATACCTAGGGGTCGCTATTAAGGGTCCCTCCTTTTACCCTTGGAGAGGCCAGCTCCGCCGTGTACGGCGGCCATTTTTGCTGGCATGAGTCCTTGCAGCACCTGGGCGAGGACAAGAAGCCCTCCTGCCTCACGAACTTCCGTGAGCCAGAAGCACGCCTCATGTCCTGCTACACGCATCGCCTCGTCACCACCAAGAAGGTTGCTCCCTGGTGCATGGGCAAGTTGGCGCCGGAGAAACTCAGGCGCACGCCCCGCAGCGGGGGGGGGGGGGGGCGGAAAATTTCTGCAGCAGTTCTCTTTCCGGAGCCCTTTTTGTAGAAGCTGTTGCAAGATGAGGTCCCCCAAACGCCAAACCCGGAGGTCAGAACAAAACTCAGGTCTATGCTGGTGAACTATGGCTGCGTCAACGAGCCTTTCCGCAGGCCGGGGCAACCCCATCGCTGCGTTGTAGACAGAAGCGGGAGACCAGAGCTTTAAGTATTGCAACGACTGCGGCTCCTACGACTCTTGTAATCACGATGGCGATGACAATGAAACTTCCCATGTCAGTCTTCTTGAGATTATCAACCATGGTTGTTCTTGCTACCTGTACTTTCATGAATGCTGCCATCACTACAGACAATTCGCACATCGTGGTTCCGACCATCCCTGAAGACAACTCATAGCAGTCGTAGCAGTATCGCTCACTGTGGCTATTACAATTCATGACCGTGCTCATAAAAATCGTCTACGATAGCATCATTTCGGTCCTCACCGTCAGGATCAACACCGTGCGATCATTGCCATGATCTTACCACTTAACATCATCACCTCCTCCCCCTCCTCCTCCTCCTCTTACTACTATTTCAAGCAGTACTCGTATCAGTGCTGGTACTAGTACACTACTACATCTACTACTGCTGCGACGGCGACTACTACTACAACTGCTACAACAACTGCAGCAACAAGAATACCAAGTACTACTACGACCACAACCACCAGCAGCAGCAGCAGCAGCAGCAGCACCACCAGCACCACCACCACCACCACCACCACCACCACCACCAGCACCACCAGCACCACCAGCACCACCAGCACCACCAGCACCACCAGCACCACCAGCACCACCAGCACCACCGCCACCACCGCCGCCACCACCGCCACCACCGCCGCCACCGCCGCCGCCACCGCCACCGCCACCGCCACCGCCACCGCCACTGCCGCCGCCCCCACCACCCCCACCACCACCACCACCACCACCACCACCACCACCACCACCAGCACCACCACCACCACCACCACCACGGCTACTAGCACGAGGAGAGCGACAACGGATGACAACCGTAAACGCAAACTACCAGCCTGGGAAGCACAGAAGAAGGAGGAGACAGAATTAGTGGGACCGGTCCTTGCACGGTCTTGCCTAAAGCGACTTTTCGACAGGCTGGGTCAGTGCGGCCTCATCTCCAAGGTTGGTGACAAGGACCGCTTGACTCGAATGCAGGTGCAGGGAGCGCTGTACGGTTTCACAGAAGCAGTGAACTAAATGAAACAAAAGATAGATTAGAGCGGTAGACAAACGACGAGATCAATAAGTTCCCACAAGTTTTAAATCCCTGAGCCTGGAATCCTCAAGCTGTCATCCCAAGTCTTTAAACCCCTGAGGTGTGGAACGCCACCCTGGAGACTCTGGGGCAATGCGTTCCCATCCTCGTGGACGAGCACGACACCTTCAAGGCTTGCAGAGACTCGAAGCTGTGATAATGATCCCTGTTTCCTCGGGCCCAAAGCCCCAGAACTCGTAAGCACCGAAGCCCCAAACCTCAAAATCCCTACAAGCCCTGCAGCCTGAAACAAAAACGGTTAACCCTTACCTAGTAGTAGAGTAGGTAACCTTTAACCTTTTTTTGGGTAGTATAAGCCCTATATAACCCAAAAGGTCAACCTTTAGTTCCCCATGATCCCCGACAAGTAGGTTATATAGTAGTTATATGGTAGTAATATGATAGTAATAAGGTAGTTATATGGTAGTAATGGTAGTTATAATTGCTTAAGAAAACCCTTAGGAGCTCGAGAGTTCTGAGACTCTGCAGCTCGCCGTCGCAGGCTGCCGTCAACACCTTCCCACAGTTCAAGACCGCCTTCTGGGCGCTCAAGAACCTTGAGCAGTTTAGAGTTCACAGTTCTTTATCAGTTTAGAGTTCAGAGTTTAAAGTTTACTGTAGGTGTTTTTTTAAAAAGTGCTGTGGTGTTGGAAAACCTTTTGAAAGCTTGCACATGTTCGGCCATGGGGCTGGACAGCTAACCCCGAATCCTGAACCCCTAGACCCTAAACCCGAGGAACTTGACTCTGAACCAGAACAAGTATGCTCACGACTGCCAGATCTCGGATGCCCATCGCCAGGCAGGTTGCAGCAGTTACAGCGAACCCCAGAAAGTTGGAACATGGGTTTAAGATGATTCGTGCTAGGATTAATGATGTCCCAACTTTCTGGCTTCTACCATACACAGCTTGTCATCCGTAGTTCCCTGAGATCTTAAGGGGTAAAGCACGTGCAGCACCTTTGGGACAAGGCTCCACATGTCTCATGCAGAGGTTATGCTATCAGTTGCCATCAGGTAAAGGCCATGAACTCCGGACCATAAACAGTAAAATTTCAGCTGCCGACGCCATTCCAGCACCCTCGAACCTAGACTTCGCGTTCGTAGAAGCCATCCGAAACACGCAGTTGTCCCGAAGGCCATAACCCGGAAGACTAAAGCCGCAACTAACCTCAACACATGTACAAGTATACGCAATACCCTGCCCCCCCACCCACCCCCACGCGCACAGAGGAACACCTGGTTTTTAACTATATACTCCGGCTAGGTCATCAAGGAGCTCGCTGGACCCGAGGCGATGCTGTACGCAGCTGCGAAGCAGCGCGCACTGCGCATCCAAGAGCACTTCCATTGAGCACCTGAGCTAGATAGGCATGTGATGGAAATGTGCTCTCAAGGCTTGGGGCTTGAGATTTTGCGTGTACGGGCTTGGGGTTTGCAGCCGTGTGTGGTTTTGTAGCCTCAGACCAAGGAGCACAACATTTTCAACGGCTCAAAGAGCCAAGAGGCAGCCTGATTGAAGTAACTTAGCTTCCAGGACTGCGCCGAGTTTTCAACCAAGCACCCCCTCTAAGGGGGGGAATCAAGATGCATCGGTTGCAAAATTTTGCTTGCCGATACCAGACTCAGACTTCTGCTTTTTCTCGCACACCGTCTCGCAAACTTTCGCTCAGCTTGGGAATCCCTAATGAGTTAAAACTTGTGCCCAGAGCTCATGTTCAGTGGGGAATACAGACGTACACTGCACAGCTGGGTGCAGGGTGTGGCTAACTGCCTGTGACTCCAGTAAGTAAGGGATTGAAGCACCCAAAGGCTCGTGCTCGAACATCTGGCCCCGAAACCGTTAAAACCCCTTTCCTGCAGCCCTGACTAATATACTATACTGTAATATACTATATAGTATAAACTAACATCCGACACACTTTGGTAGAATTCCTTCCTGGATTCCTTGCGCAGGGCCGTGCCGAGCGCCATTCGCAGGCGGATGGCACGGCGGCTCGAACAGCGGCTGGAAGGTGGGCCTTGAAATGAGGTTGTACTTGGATGTAGCATGATGGTGGTGGTTGCACATGCTAGTTTCAATATGGGTCGGTTCGGGGTGCGCATCCTCTATGGCAGACAGAGAGATGGAGACAGAGTCATTCCACGTGCGTCGCACTCTGCGTGTCTCTCTCTCTCTCTCTCTCTCTCTCTCTCTGCAGAAGTCCTGGACAGGCCACCTTGCCTCAACAAGAACACAGGAACCACAACAGTTTTCCATAGACTCAACAAGAACAGTGAAACGACAACAGTTTACCTTATCTAAAAAAGTATATGTAATTCGTACAAGAATAGGACTTAGCTCCGTAGTTCCTGAAAACATCGCAAAGCCAGAAAGCTCAGGGTGGTTTGTCGTCTCTCATCAACAAAATCCGACACAATTCAAAAGTGGGTCTGCTTTGGATAGGCAAGACAGACGAAGTCACCCGAACCCCGAAGTATTAAGCTTTCAGCCTCGAAAATTCGTAACAGGAGATGTGCTAGACACCTCTGGCCTTCGACGCATCTTGGGTGAGGTCGCACAGGCCAGATCCAGGGTTGGTGACGGTGACTTATAGATCCCTAAACCCTAAACCCTAAACCCTCCCTGTCTTCTTGGCGTTATATGCCTTACTTACTGTACTGCTATAGTGCTGATGAATTATGTGACGGTTTGTATGCAGGTTTGTATACATATGTAGGTGCACCTTACATACGTAGATTAAGTACTCTCGTTTTGTTTTTCTCTATCCCTCTCTCTCTCTCTCTCCCTCTCCCTCGCTCCCTCTCTATAGACAGACAAGTATGTTCTTTCTATGTTGATACTTGTGTTTTACGTCTATGTCAATATTTGTATTACGTAGATAACTTTGGTTGCATTTGTTTGCCTGTTCATTTGTACGTGATATTTACGTGCGGCGTTCCCATCCGTGAGCGCCACCTTATCTCGACTGCAACATCTTCAACATGGAAGCAGAATGCATTATCACTTGCGGTTGACTGCTCTGTGACGGATGGGTCCTTGCATGTCTCGATGTTTGGCGGCTCCGGGCTTGCCCGAAACCCCAAACCCGAAACCTACTGTAAGTTCCCTCGGAGGAGGCAGGGCGACCCTATTGTAGAACCCTATAGTACCCTTCAAGGGGACCCTACCATATATCCCTGCAGCAATGTGGGAAGCTGATTAAGAAACGCTGGGCCTATAAGCCCCAAATAAATAGTAGGATTCATATAAGGAACCTTAATAAAGGCCCAAGGTTTCTTAATCAGGTTCCTACATTACCAGAGAACCCTATAGTACTGTAGTACCCTTTGTAGGAGGCGGCGAAAGAGCTCTCCGGTGGAGACCTCTGCATGCGGCAGATCCTTCGAAGCCTCGGTCCCTTCACTTGCACTTTTAGGGTTTAGGGCTTCGGGTTTTAGGGTTTGCAGCTCAGGGTTCGGGGCTTGGGGCGTAGGGTTTAGAGCTTAGGGTTTAGAGCTTGGGGCTTAGGGCTGAGGGTGTAGGGTTTAGGGTTTTAGGCTTTCGGGATTGGGGCTTAGGGCATCTCATGGATTCAGGAATTTGTTAGAGGGTTTAGGGTGCCGAGGATTCAGGCAAAAGGCGTCCTATGGCCGTTGGCTCGGCTTTCAGCTCCAGCCTGAAACTGAAACACATCATGTCCCTGAGTTGCCCATCATGTCGATGAGTTGCCAAGCCCATCAGGACACTGCGACGCCCTACTCTACGAGCTCGCCTCTTGCGCAACTCGCCTGCATGCCGTGCAGGGGTGTGATTGTGCTCTCTGTTACAGTTGTAGTTGTCGCCCGAGAGCATGCACTTGTACTCTTCCTTGAGTTTCCCTGCCACGCCAGAGTTGAATGAACCTCATGAAGACAGGCAGATACCGATAAGTGCTTGTCAACCGCCGTCCTCCTCTTGGCTGTCACATCTGAAGGCCACACAAGCGCGGAAGCTGCCCATTGCAATACGGCGGCTGCGGGAAGAGATTTGCCTTGAAGCCGGTGCATCCATGCCTTTCCTAAGCTACTACGGCCCAGGTTTTGCAAGCTCCCTAACCAGGTCCGAAAGCCTTCCCGCTAGCTTCAGTTCCCTAAACCTAAAAAGACCCCCAAGTGCTCTGAGCCTTAGCCGACCCGAGGGCGCTGGCCCAAAAGCCGTAGATGTTCGCTTTGGTTCGATTTATCTGAAGGAGTGTTTAGGGGCTGATCTCCTACATCAAGGAATATGGGTTTGCTTGGGCTTTAGGGCCCTAAACCCTAAACCCTTGGAAGCACACCGTCGCCCGGTTTTGTGGGTTTTGCAGAAGGACTTTGGAGCTTTGGGGCCCCGCTGAGTTTCTGGGGGGGTCGGGTTTGGCGCGAGGCGTTTCAGGCTCTGAAACTTAGGGCTGTCTCGGCTGTGGTCTTGGTATTAGCAAATTAGGGAAACAAGGGCTTCAAGGTTTTCAGGGTTTTGATTCCAGATGTAGAAATTTATGCCTAGGCTCTGGGGACAAAGAGCAGGAACAACGTTCTTGAGCCGGGAGGCTACCACCGACTACTGTACTGGAAAGCGTGACAGCCTCTCGGGGTCACCGGTGTGGGGCAGGCTCAGGTGTGACTGCTATTCTGCCACACCCGGAAGGCAGGCGGAGCCATATTAATAATGCTAAGTCCGGAGTTCTAACATGGCCGGCCAAGTCAACAGAATGCGCTAGCTCGAAGTCCCAAACCCCAAACCCCATTTAAGCCTGAAGCCTCGCAGCCTCAAACACGAAGCCCAGAATCCTGAGTCCCCGAAGCCCTGTAAACCCAGATGACATCAACCTTGATCCCGTAAGAAGCTGCTTAGGAAGCCGCTTGGCGCGGCAGCAGCGTGTCGCTAACGGCCACGAGGCACCTCCTGCAGCAGGCTGTCGGTGTCCCGGCAGTTTGGTTTCAGGGTTTAGGGATTTAGATCCTAAACCCTACCTTAACCCCAAATAACCTATGTTTTAGCGTTCCTTATTATGATTTCTTTATATAAGTCCCTAAACAGGTATAGGTTATTCGGGGTTAAGGCAAACCCTAAAGCGTCGGAAGCGCACGAGTTAAGCTCGCGGAGGCGCTTTCTCCTGCTTTTGGATACTGTCGCGAGCCGCTTGTGCCAGCTGAGGCCTCGAGACCTTGCACAGCCGCCTTGTGCAGAGCCTGCTGAAGGCCTTCACCAACCTTGGGGTGGGGACCAACGCCCGTTGCTCTCTGGGCCATAGCATGGATCGGGTACCACTGCCCAGCCTGCCTGTGGGCGACGAAAGCCCCATCTGCCACCGTTGCGAGCGAACTGCCGAGGAGTTGCTGAGGGCTGCAGCTGGGTTCTTGTTAAGGAATTTAGTTAAAGTTACCATAATAGGGATCTGTAGTAAGAAGTATTATGGTTTCCTTATAATTTTTACGGACACCGATATTATTTACTATAGATCCCTATTATGGTAACTTAAACACTGGTAACTTGAAATAAAATCCCGTCACAAGAACCCAGGCAGGCCAGGAAGCGCCTTTTGAGCCCTGGTGGAAGTGTCGCGGCTGCGCTGCCAAAAGCCGCGACGTCTTCCTCTGCACCTTCGTAGCTGAGTTAAGGCCCGTGTATGAGGGTTCCTTACTATAATACTATAATTACCTCTAGTAGTCTTTGGGTTCCTTATTATAGTTATAGTATAGTGGGACCCAAAACCCTATTCTAATTATGAACTCAGCAGCTAAGGCACGGAGTGCGGGCGCTACGCGCAGGCCGCTGCTGGCGAGGCGCTCCTGTCCAAGCCCGCGACAAAGAGCTGGAACAGCTGCATGCACGTTCTGAGGGAGCTTCTGAGCCCGGATGTGCCATCGTCCAGGGTCTCACCCTGCGAGACTGGCGACTTCACGGAAGATGAAACTCTGCAGAGTGCGCTGGCAAAGGAGAGTCAAGGCATCGAGGCTTCTATGGACACCTCCGAGAGCGAGATGCAGGGACTACCGGTCAGGGGGAGGCCCAACAGCGCACAAGCCTACAGCTCGAAGTCCAACGACCTCGGTCGCGAAGGTGCGTTAGACCCACACGTCGTGAGTGAAGGGAGCGAGTGGGTGGAGGAGGTCCTGCAGGCTGCTCACAAACCCGGCGCCGTGTCGAGTGCTTCTGCGGGCAGTGTGGTTCAACCAGATGAGGAGCATCCGGATGTTGCAGGAGACGGAGGTGACGGTGACAGTGCTCCGTCGGCTTCTGCTGAGGCTGAAGCTGATGCAGGATTTCACATCCCGGCAACCTTCCTGACCTGTCCTGACGATGCCAGCGTGGTGAGCAACGTCTCCCTCGAGGATGCATCGCCTGAGCCCATGCCGGAACCGATGCCGCAGCCACGGTTGGACCTCTTCGTGAAGCTCGGTGATCTTTGGCGCGGTGCCCAGCCGTTCGGAAGGCCTCGCGTTTCATGGAATCCTGGAATCCCCAAACCCACCGCCCAGGACGCCAACACCCATCGTGCGGCGGCCCAAGACAGGGCCGGAACAGCCCTGGGTCCTCGATGTGCCGAAGAAGCCTCTGCCAGAATGCAGGAGAGTCGGGGCGTCTGTGGACATAGATAGGCAAACTCTCTGCGTCATCATGTCATCATCGTGCTGACGGTCATCGTAACATAAGAGCTAGGAGAACAAGTCGAGCCGACAACAACTTGTCATTATTGCTATCACTGGATTCCACCGAGTCATGTGTGAGCATAGCCTCTTTCAAGTAATACCATCTGCGTTCCTGGTTGTACTGCTGCTACGTACCTTGCAAAGCACAGCAGATGACCAGGACAATCACGAAAAAGCTGCGACTTCCGGTAGGTCCTGGCCTGGAGAAGGCCTGCGGGGGTCACAGAAGCTTTAGGAATGCAGGCCTCAGCTGTGAATCCTAACTCTTTAATCACTAAAACCCATTAGTGGGTCCAAGACCCCTAGGCCCACAAACTGCCTGGGGCCCAGGGACGTGCGGCTAGAGGGATGTCAGTACATGCACAGACCTTCAGAGTTTGATTTTCAAAACTTACTTGTGTAAGCATCCGTCTGGCACCTTCCTATAGTAACTATAGTACGATACACCAGATCCGAAGTCCCGTTGTAGTCATTGCTGCTATACTGGTGCAGGTTCAGCAAAGCTCAAAGTGGCACGGGAGCCGCTGACAAGTGGTAACAATCAGTTGGTTAGGCTCTTACGACAAAGTTACATGAAAGGCATTTCGGCTCCCGTAGACACATAGCCAGTATATTCCACATGACGGTTCCCGGCAGGTGTACTAGTTGGTTTACTCACATCTTAGTCGGTCTGAGAGGAATGCAGCGCACCTCCCGTAAGTTTTGCAGGCTGGGATCGTATCCGCTAAGTTCGAAAGCCAAGTACCTAATCCTTATTGAGCTAGAACGCCCTCAATCCCTCTGGCAGCGGAAGCGAAGGCCCGACACCTAATGAGTTCTAGAACCAAGACAACCTTGAAGTCCTGAACCTTGATTCCTGCAACCCCAATCGCCAAGGCCTGAACCCTTACAGTAGTCCTGAACGGTCCCACATACCATGACAAGGTCCTCCTGATGGGGCCAAGGGCTCCGCTCGGGCTGCCGTCCACGGCTGGAGCCAACAGCCGCGTCAAAGAAGTCAGGGCGGGCAGAAGGCCAAGAGAGGGTTTGGGAAAGTAGGACTTTAGGGCTCGGGGGGTTTAGGGGTTTGGTTTTGGGTTCAAGCTTCGGGGTTGTGCTTCATCGTGCGTTCGCGGTTCGGTGCTTCTCTAATTACTCTCGGGAATCACACTTTTTCCGGCTTGAGATCTGGAATTCGGCGTGTTTAAGGTGGCGTGGATTCCTTAACATTGGAATGCAATGGCGGAAGCTTTTGGCCTGTCCTTGTGCAGCATTCAGGCTCAGAAATTGGATGTAGAGTTTAGGATTCAGAGTCATAGGCTATTGATGAAGCATCTCGAACTTGATGCAACTTATGCGGAAGCCCCAGTCTAGGCTGGACGAGTCCCACGTTGGATATCCATAGACGCGAAACCATTTGAAAGCCGCCCAAACCCCATACCTCAGACCCCATCGTAAGGCAGAAGGGTGCTGAACAGTAAAGCGCAGCCTTACAACCACCTACGAAACACCCAACGACAACATGAACTGCATAGCGGCTCTCCAAGATCCTCCAGAATCCCGTTCGAAGCCCTTCAAGTGCTTGTAAAACTTACACGATGACGCTCTGAACCCTGAACTTACTGGTGCTCGAGGGGGGTTGGAAGAACGGATCCCTACTATAAAGGCCTGTTTAATGTCCAATACTATTTCGGGGAGCGCGTTATTATTATTGTAGAAGGGGCCCCAAAGCCCTATTCTAACCATTAAGGCCCCCATAATACACTAGTCCCTATGTTATCCCGTATAGTATGAATAGTGGTCTTTCTGTTCCCTCTTCTGCTCCCCCTTCAGCAAAAGCTGAGGGGCACTGAGAATTGATTCTTAATTTTGGGTTAGCTAAAGCATAGAAAGTAGGTAAAGCCATGTCTTTGAGCCTGGGGCTGTAGAGCTCTTGCCAGGCGGGACCAGCAGGGCTTCGACGCCAACTGCGGCGCCAAGGAGCCTTTTTCACTTGTGGTTTCGGGTGCATACCTGTGCAGGGTGGTTTGAGGTTTGGGAGCTTGGGTAGTTCTAGTTTTGGGGTGTTTGAGATTCGGGTGAATTCTGCAGGGTTCCCTGCATATCCTGCATGCTGTCGTTAACTGTCATGTTTCCGAGGGGATGCTCGCAGTGGGTAGGGAAAGTCAGGACTCAGTCAGCCAGGTGAAGGAATCGGTTCGAGCCATCGTAGGTGAGCAGCTCTTACACTGACCCTTCAACTCGTCTACTGCACAACTGCTCGCAGGATGCACAGATGTTAGCACACATGAGCACAAACTCTTGATTGCTATAACTAGAGGCCTTTATCATTAACTATACGATTTTGGGGGCTCTTGATTACAAAAATTAGTATATTATACCCCCAAACCTTATTCTATCTATTAAGGTCCCTACATGAGTTGCTTCCCAAACCTTCTAAGCTGAAGTTTCAGACGTTGCAGGAGTTGCTGCGGCGAGCCCAGAAGCCTCCCGGCAGAGCACCCTGCACCTACGCCGTCGCCCCACAAGAGCTCTTTGACGAGCATGTCCAGGCGGGTTTAGGGTTTGGGCTTTAGGGGTTGATTCAGGATTTTGGGCTCAGTTTTCCGCATCTGGCGGGGTTTCAACAGTCAGTTCTATAACGATCATTTGTCAGGGTCCTTGTCAAGGAGGCATGCCCGGCGTGTCAACTGATACCGGATCATTGACAATCACTCATATGTGAGTCATGGTCTTGTTGAAACCCCATTGGGCGACTTGAGGGCGGTGCCGGAGGTTCATGATCGTGGTATTTTCCGGGCATCGGACAGCGGAGGAGTTGTAGGCAAACCGTGAAGGCCTAATTTCGTTTTGAATGGCCGACGCCGGGGTGGAAGGCATCGACATCGCTATAAGGCTGCCAAAAGCCGAGAGGCTGGGCCCGTCGCCCCAATCAATGCTTTGCCGAGCCCCGCAAGCTGAAAGCCATGCAGAACTCTGACACCAATGGGTAGTTGTCAAAATTATGGTCCCGTTTTGGCTACCCTAATTATCAGGTGCCGTACTATATTAATTTTGACAACCACCCAAATACCTTCATGCTCACCGAGTTCGTTACTGGACTGGTCTGCTTGGGCGATGCAACAAGACTAAGGTTTCCATCGAAGCACGAAGGTGAGTAGGAACGGCCTGCCAAAGCTCAAGTGGACAAGGCTGCCGCGCCCCACATGGGACATATATGGGGGTTTCCTGAAACAAGGGGTCCCTCTTTCGGTGTCCCTATGATACGGATCCTACTGTTTCCCAAATTCTGAAACTACTCCTGAAACTCCCACATGTGGCTGCTAGGACTTCCGTTCTGCTTGATTCTTGAACCCACGGTTTCTTGTCTCAAGTCTGTGCCCCCAAAGGCACATGATATGCAAGTCCTCCGGTTGCGTCATTCGGATAAGAACCAAGCGCAGGCTATGGATCTGCCGGTTTGGCAGGGTGTGGTGGACAGCTGGAATCGGAGAATTCGGGCTGCGGGCGAATCTGGCGCAGGACCTGCGGTACACTAAACGCATAGAGTAGTAGATAATCGCATGTTATAGCTTATAACGGATTATAGCATATTACGGAATACAAAAGTGCCGGCATCCCGGTAGAGACGGCGCAAAAGCTGTGAGCCCCTCATCCAAGCCAGGCCGAAAAGCCCGAAACCCCGAGCTCAACCCAATATAGGGGACTTAAAAAATGCCAATATTATTTTGGGGACTCCTCATTATAAGTATAGTATACTACATTATTATTTTGGGGGCTCCTTATTATAGTAGAGTATATTATTAAGGCCCCTATAGTACACCCTGACAAGGAACGCCCGACGCATCCGTGGGCGGTGTGCTGGAGCAAGCAGCCCAAAGTGAGCTGGCTGTGACTGCCGCAGAGACACGGCCACTCCGATAAAGTTCTTGATCACGGCTTAGGGTTTTATGAAAACAAGTGAACAAAGTACGAAGCATGTACAGATCTATATGCATGTGAATATACACAAAAGCAGCTCATAGGCACACATCATGCTTCTCGAAGAAGCACAAGAGAGTTCGTTGCATCTTGAAATCATGTTTCTCCTGCCCTCTCTGTTGCTATTGGGTGCTCCGTCCTGACATTCGTCTTGATGTGAGTCTCATGATAAGCGGAGTTCAGCTTTTCGTACTCACGTGTAAACGAACCATAAGCCGTGCTTGTTCTTCATGCCGCGAACCGCTGAACAGATTGGAGAGCTCTGCTACGCTCTAAATCGTTGTTGTTCCATCCCGCCGGAGAGAGGAAGGAGTCTTAACATCTGCTCACACTACCCTAAGCCCTAAACCTTCAATCCACTGACGAAGATTGGTGAGATGGATTCTGAGGCGGCCCCTAATGCAGAGACCTGTCGCTGTGGAGAAAGGTCATTGCATTCAAAAGAATCTTCAATCCGAAGGCCTAAGAAGATTCCCCTCAAAATGATGATCTGATTCACCCTCTTCTAGTCATCAAGGCTCCTAGAAGCTTGTTATAGTAAACCCCATAAAGTTGGAAACCGGATTAAGGCCAAATAGAGCTGGGATTCCCTATACATTACTTTGAAGGCTCTAGGGTTTCCAACTTTTAGGCTTCTACTGTAAAGGAACACAGCAGTTCTACAACACCGAATCAGTCTCTCGAGGCCCTTTGCTCCGAAGACGATCCCGACCAGCAAGGAGGCCAGGTTCAGGGCTTACCTTCAGCCGGAAGAACCTACCTTTTTAAGGACTTATATAAGGAACTCATAAGAAGGAACCCTAAAAAGGCAGGTTCTTTAGGTTCAGGGTTTAGGGCAGAAGAGCAGGGTTTAGGGTTAAGGGTTTACCAGGATCCGGAGTAGACGCTTTTTGCCCTTTTTCTTTGTGGGTTCCGTTATTCAACACCAAACAGTAGGGAAAAGGGTACCCCTATCATTAAGAGCCTAGTCGGAACCGAGTTTAGGGCAGAAGAGCACAGGTGTCAGGGACTTCCTGAGTGGCAGTATAGCAAGATACGACGTGGCTTTGGTTTTCCATAGGAAAGGGTTCCCCTAAACCCTAAACCGTTGAGAGAGCTGCGAATCTATGTCTTTATACTCGAGAGTAAGTGCTGAGTTCCTCGAGAATACGCTGCGTGCAAGTGGCCAAAACCCTAAGCCCCAAATGCTGTACACGTTGTAGGGGCATGTAATTCAGGGGTCCGAAACTTGGGGATTGGTTTTTCTGGCGGGATCGGGGCAGCGAAGATGCTGAGAGGCCGATGGCAAATATCGCGTCTTTGACATTGCTCAGTGGGTGAGATGCCCGGCAGCAAGAATCCGAGTATCCCAGAGACTCCAATACCCCTTAATTGAGGAATATTCCTTAAATCATATAAAGGATCCTACTATAATTTAGGGTATATTCTTTAATTAAGGGGTATTGGAGTCTCTGGGATCAACACGTCGCGGCAAGTGACGGTCCGGGTTCTATGTCCAGGCTGCCAGCAAATCCAACATCATCATCCGTTTTTTCATGGTCACGACACTACCAGCAACGGTTGCACCATGTCATAACTCATAAGCAGCTTGAGCATTACATCATAATCGCTCTGTCGTTCCTCGCAAGTTACTGAAGGGCGCTCCGGTCAGGTAGACGCTTGACAAATTCAGGAGCTCGAGGGTTGTGAGGTGCAAAGTTAGCATGGAGTTCAACCGTGTGCAGACGATGGAACCCATAACGACATCAGCTTGCTCATGGATAGCCCGCTGGGTTTTCTGCATCTGTAGACGGGTATCGCGGCCATTGGGAGTGGTGGCCCGGTTCCATGGGCTCACGCATTGGTACAGCCCAGGTTCAGGGACGGTGAGGTGCGTGGCGAAGAGGGATGAAAAGCCTGTTGCGGCAGCGCACTTGTAAGGACAGTCAGAGCGATCGAAGCTGTGGGTCGACCCGGACGACATTATGCAGCACTATTTTGAGGAGGCGTGCAACGTTAGACGGCGCAAGCCGCAGGAAGACGTGCTGCATGACTAGACGGCGCACTGAAGCACCCCTGTCACAAAGTTATGGCAGCATCGCATCGGTGTCGGCTGCTGGCGAAAGACTTAGTGCACAGCACTGCAACCAGAGCACTTCTAAATGAGTGGTGTGGAGCACTGTGACCTGCCTGCTGACGTTTGCAGAGGCAGGCCTGGGCTCCAGTCTCACAGATGCCCAGAGTCGGCTCCAGTTCAGGTGCATCAAGGGGTCAACACGGCCCACTTGATGAAAACACGACCTAAATGTGGTCGGTGCTTGCAGCTGGGCACTTCGTAGAATTACATTGAATGTCATGTTTTCAAGTTATTAAATTCAAGAGCAGGTTGCGCAGATGAAAATGCAAGATACAAGTTGCCTTAAGGTGCGCTGTCCATTGGCCCCACGCGCAGACAGCGTATCTGACAAGGTAAACGCAGCCGGCGAGGCCTCTTGTCGCCGACCGTGTCCTGTGTCTTTGGCTCTGACAGGGACATGGAGGGTGTACGCAAGGATGCAGAGCTGCAGTACCAGCACCTCTCCGAACCTGTTTTCCTTCCAGCCCGAACCTCGCCACCCAGCCCCACCTTCTAAGCCACCTTCTCGGAGAAAGACCCTTGTGTCATCTTGTTCGTCTGTCATCATCTGACCGCGAGCCGGTCATTGCAACTGCTGCAAGACGAAGCAGCTTTTTCGCGCCAGTCTTCGTGGCGCCATGCCTCTGTCTGCACCTGTCACGGCCACAGCCGTGGAGCGCAGCACGGGGCAGATAGGTCGCGCCGCCGTCGCTGCCATGCAGGTTTCCGGGAAACGGGGTTAGCCTGTCCATGAGGTGTTTACGGCCCGTAAAAACTTGACCGGGACCTATCAATGAATGCATGCAGCTGGGTTGCAGGTGGTTGGTTGAGGCTGCGAGATCCTCTAACATGCAACTCATACAACAATGCGAAGCCCCCAACCCCAGAACCTAGAGGCCTTAAGCCCTACCAGGGTCTGCGGCCCAACTTCGAAGACTGCCACGTCCTGGATCAAAAACTTGGAATCTGCGGCGTTTTCGATGGCCACCTCGGAGATGAGGCAGCGGCCTTCTGTGCAGAACGCGTCCGGGCCGGAAATTAGAGGTAAAGTGTGATCCTATATGAGAACCCCTATAGAATAAGAAAGAAACACGAGTACTCCGTTCCAATCCTTACGAAGTGATCAGAGGGAGCTCTTGATACCTATCCCTCACTGCGACAAGTGTACCAGACTACTAGAATGGTAGGCGACAAGTGAGTTCTTCGAAGTCCCAAGATGTTTTCGCAAACACAAGAAGCCGCGCCGAAGGCTTGCCGCGGCACATCTCGACCGCGCACGACGACGACGGGCTGCGCCAAGCTTTCGCCTTGTGCGATTCTGAGTTGATGGCTGCGCTTCCCAAGGAATGCGAAGCAGGGACCACTGTGCTCTGGCATTATTCAGCAGGTAATTAGTTCGCAACCTCGAATCCTCGGATACGCAAGATATATGCTGGGTGTTGCCTGACCATCAAGATGGTTTTGATATTTACTTGTAGCGCTAAAGTCAGGGCGCACGATTCTTTTAACTTTCTACCTCGAGTGTGTAGATGTATTTCATTCTGTTCTCCACGAGAAGGGGTGGAGGGAATTATTGAACTCGGACATCCCCACCCCAAATGCAACTGGGATAAACAGAAGCATACTTGGTCGGCACCCTAAACCTTAAACCCTAAACCGTATGATTCCAGGAGGGAGGAGACAGGAGACTATCTGCCTCAATCTCGGACACTTCCCCGAGGGGTGAGAAAATTACCTTAGGGTTCTTTTAAGGGGGTTGAGGGTTCCTTTAAGGGCTCCTTTAACGGGGTTTAGGGCTCCTTTCAGGGTTCCTTCAAAGGAAAGCTGTTCTCTGGGGTACGTTGTGGGGTTGGGCACTCCGCGGATGGGATGGACACGACGGGTATCCTTTGCAGGATACTGTAAAGCCGGGCACGGGCGGGGATGCTTTTGGCAAGGCCCTGCCGCAAGCGTGGCAACTTTTGGGCGGGCTGTACGGCTTAAGGGCCTTAGGTAGGGTTCAGAGGTTACAGTAGAAGCCCAAGAGTTGGAAACCCAATAGCCTCAACCCTCAAGAGCAATGTATAGGGAATCCCAGCACTATTTGGCCTTAATCCGATTTCCAACTTTATGGGGTTTACTGTAACGCTAAACCCAAATCCCTAAACCCTAAACCAACTTTATGGGGTTTACTGCAGGGGTTTAGGGTGTATGGGGTGTTGGGGCCCGGGCCCTGAATCTACCACTCGGCGCCTTCGGAGTCTGAGGTGCATATATACATATATATATGTATATATGTGTACATATTTTTACTTTTATGCATTTATATATACAGGTATGTATATGTGTATATATATATATATATATTTATATTTATATTTATTTATTTGTTTATTAGACACTAAAGGTTGAGCCACCAGTTTTTTTGGCCCCACGTTCCTCTTCAGAGGGCTGCCGTTCGTTTCAGTCCGCATCCGTGGGGAAGATTCGGTCGGATACCGGAGCTAGTGCCACCCAGGCAACCGTCGCCAAGATGCAGCCAAACGGCCGCGAGGATTCCATCATCGTGACGGTTGCGAACTTAGGAGACTCGCGCGCTCTTCTTTGGAGAAAATCTTCAGATACGATAGAGCACACGCGAGATCACCGTCCTGGTGACAAGTCGGAGCGAGATCGAATCACAGCTGCCGGCGGGGAGGTGATTGAGGATTTCGATCCGCCACGCATAGACGCCGGGCTTTGGATCATGGGACCTGTTACTAAAAGGGGACCACTATGAAATGAAAGTCTATACTTTTTTCTCCCCGGTTACTTCAAAGCCCAGGACGGCAAACTGGCCTGCAGCCGAGCACTTGGCGACTTCAGCTTCAAGAAGGGCCCTGGGACGGCTGCAGAGCAGAAAGTTAGCTCTGTGCCAGAGCTGTACCGCTGGAATGCCCAACGTGGCGACTGGCTTATCCTGGGGTGTGACGGAGTTTGGGACACGATGGGCAACGAGGAAGTGGTGCAGCGCGTGTGTAAATCCTCCAAAGATGTGGGTGACACGGTTGCGGGTGTGCTGCAGCGTTGTATCGACAAAGAGGCAGACGATAATCTCACCCTTCTTGCAGTTGAGCTGGGCTCTGTGCCGTTGTCGGAGCCTAGTACGACCGTCTCAGCTGGTGACTTCCTGAAGGAGAAAGATCCGGCTGTGTCGGAGCCCCAGCATCCTCGTGTGAAAAGATGAAGGGTAACATAAGGGCTCCTTTAAGGGATCTATAGGGTTCAATTAAGGGTTGAGGGTTTAGGGTTTGGGAGTTTCCGAAAATAGTGGACCCTGGTATACTACTCTAAATAGTAGAATCCTTATTATAAGGACCCCAAAATAAGGTACACCTACTTTTCGGAAACTCCCATTTAGTGGTAATGCTTCAGCTCAAGATTCAGGTCAAATTGAGGACCCGGCTTTTTCAGACGTATAGTTTTCGGATTTGAGATCAAGGCCTTGGCAGAAACATGACTTGTTCTTGAGGAGCAGACGTGGGACGCAAAGCGCTAAACACATAACCCAGCGAATTGCGAGGAAGTTAGATTGCGGCTGGCATAAAGTCACCACATGCGCGAATCCTTGTCAGTCCTTCTGCCGTAGACTGTACGCCCTGGGCCCCGCCCGAGACCCATCCCAAACCCAACTCCCAAACCTCTCCAAATCCCAAACCGCAAGCCTTAAAGTGCCCCAAAGCATCGAAGCCTCGAATCCTTAAACCCATCATGACCCTTAGGCCTTTTTGAGGGGGTTCTAGGGACCCTTAAGAGTCTATATAGGGCATATACTAGGCATATAAGGATCCCAAGGTTAAGGACCCATACTAGGGTTGGGATCGCCCTGGGAACTCCTGAGTCTTAAGTCTTCACCTGAAGCCAGAGCCTATCACCGGCACATGAGAGAGCTCTGAAAGGCTGTGATAATAATTCCTGCTTGTTCTACTGCAATACAGGCCCCAAAAAGAACAGTCGAATTCTCAACGCCCCCCATATGAGGAAACGAACTAAACCTCCAGGGGCTTAGGCCCCCCTGCCTCAGGCTGGAGCAGCAGCTTGGACCAGAGAGATTTAGAGTGCTGAGTGCGGGGGATGGCTTGGGTTAATGAATGGTGCATAGGGTTTACCTGGACCCCAAAAGTATCTAGAAGAATAGCCTTTTATAGGTTTTGGGCCATTATTCTACCTACTTTGGGGGGTCTAAGTAGTGTTTCGTGTCCAGGACGGGTCATTTTCGAAGGGTCTGATGATGTTGCGCCGCCCCATATCACACGATGCATCCTTTTAGCTCAACCCGCCGACCCTGGGCTTTATTGCATGAGTCTTTTGATGATACATATCTGCACCAACAATTTTCCGCAGAATCTTCGCCAGTACGAAGCCTTGATCACTGAGCAGTATGCCTCACCCTCACAACACCTCAGCCTAGCCACTGCTTGCCCCCTCGCTCAGCTAAGGTACCAGTCTTTCTGCCTGCGCGCTGGGTACGCAATTGCTCGGGAGCAACAGCCGAAGGCACCTCCCAAGGTGGTCATCACCGAGGCAGCAGCTCGGCTCCCTGCTAAGGTCATAGGGACGCTCAGGCGGGTAGGGGTGGGAGGTAGGGGGCCTTAACTCCCATAAGAAGGACCTAATGCAGAGTCCCTATGATAAAGGCTTTCGGGCAGCGATCCACCCCTATGTTCCAGTAGCTTGTCGTGGCTGCTGTCGTGTCGGAGAAGTCTGTACTGTGCGGTCCGCATTTGTTCCAAACTTCCAAACCCTTGCCGGCATCATGGTGGTAGTCATGATCGTGGAAATGGCAGCAGCAGGAGCAGCAGCAACAATAGCAATGGCAGTAGTGATACGAGGAGTAAATACGTAGGTCATCCACGACTGCAGCACTACAACTAGCATCCAGCCGCCCTTCATTGCACGTACAGACATGCACATGTACAATTATGCACACAAGCCGAAAACTTGAAGCCAAAGCCCTGTCGGTTCCTCGCCAGGCCCGAAGCTACTGCACACAGACCTGTGCACAGAATCATTCTCTATCTACGTCTGCAGCCAGCTGACCAGGCGCGGAGCCCACCGGTGCCACGCTTCACGGCCAACGGCTACCACGAGCCGGTCGCGAACGGAAAGCCACTGGACGGAAACGGGAACGGTTTACGAGGGTCAAGGGATTTTGGTTCAGGGTTGACGCGGGCGTAGGTCTGAGGTTTGGTTTGAGGTTCAGGTCCTCGACGTTCAGGTGAGTTGTCATAGCCTGGCACTTCTTTCGATGTGTTGCGGCTTTGTACCGAGGCATGTCAACGAATCTGCCCCAATCGTTCGCGCGTCCCTTGGATGCACAAGAACCTTTCAGCACAAGGAGACTTGCATAGCCGCATTTTCTTCCGGAGCCAAGAGAGCCGATTGCATATAGGAGTTTATTGAAATCTTAGTCTTATTCACGACGGAGAACCCAACCGGATAGCGTCACCAGGCCTGGGTTCGATAAACTTGTATGGCCCTGAAGGGTTTGAGGTCAATCCACCCTAAACCTTCAAACCCTGCGTGTCCATCATCTGCCCAAGTTGAGAAGTGACAGACTTTTTGCAGCGTCGGCTATGCTCCTTGTGCGAGGCCACTTGTGATCGTGGGACCCTCCGGCGTGGGTAAGGGCACCCTGATGCTCGGACCTGGCAAGTCGACAATGCTGCAAGGTTTCATTCGCAGGTTTTTCTCGTGAAGACTTCACACAATATCGTGAGAGACTGGGGCATGGCTAGCTTGGTAAGTGCCGCCATGGCTCCCACAAGCAAATATCCATCAAGAACACAAGCATAGAATAATACCGCGGCATGCGAACCGTGACAATGGTGCTTCATTGTAAAGTTCGAATTGGCTGCGGTGATAGAAGTGGCGGTGGGGGTGGCGATGGCGGTGGCCGTGGCAGTGACGGTGGTGGTCGAGGTCGTGGTAGCAGTAGCAGTAGCATCAGTAGCAGTAGTCGCAGCCCCTTCTGCAGCAGCACAAACAAGAGCAGCAGCAGCAGCAGCAGCAGCAGCAGGAGTAGAAGTAGTGCAGTAGTAGTAGTGGTGGTAGTAAGCAGGAGTAGTAGTAGTAGCAGTAGTAAGTAGTAGTGGTAGTGGTAGTGGTAGTGGTAGTGGTAGTGGTAGTGGTAGTGGTAGTGGTAGTAGTAGTAGTAGTAGTAGTAGTAGTAGTAGGAGTCGCAGTCGCAGTCGCAGTAGCAGTAGCAGCGGTAGTGGTAGTGCAGAGTTCAGGGTCCAGACACGGTTCAAGTAAGCAGGCAAGCTATCAGGGTCTCTCTCTCTCTCTCTCTCTCCTTGTCTGTGCGAGTGTGTGTACATGGAGGTGTGTCTGTCTGTTTGTGTCAGAGTGTATTTGCCTTAGTCTATACTGCTCACAACGTGAAACACAGTTCATCAAAGGGTATGTACAGTGTACCGTCATGCTCCTCCAATGCCGTGTGGTGTGATGTAGCATAGCCAGCGTCGCTTCTTACAATGCAACACGGCCAAGGATTCAGAAGATCTTGGAAACGTTTCCAGGTCTCCGGGTTGTGCGGGGAAGCATCGAAGCTTAGGGCTAAGGTGTTAGGGGGAGAGGGAGGCCGAGGGGCGCTTTGGGTTCTGCAATAACATTACTTTGTTCCCTGTGGCTGTAGTGGCTATCATGACGATAGATGTCGCATTGGCATATCCCAGGAAACTGTTGTTCAAAGTAAGTAACTACATTGTGACGATGATAGATGCACAGGCATGCACGACGAAGTCGTAGTTCAGGGTCTGTGGCTGCAGGAAGTCCATCGGTTAGCACCCCCATAAACACTGAATTCCCTTGTGGCCCTCAAGTCTAGTTGTCCCGTCGCCCCGAACCCCCCTCTAGTTGTTTGTTCGCTACAGCTGCTGGTGTGATCATGGCCATCGCTTGTCAGAGGAATCCGGTAGCAGAATCACTTCTGGAACCTGTTTGTCGGAATGAAGAGTACAGGGTCCTGGTATTTTGGACCGTTCCAGCAAGGGTAGCACTGGCAGAGCCTTCATCACGTGGGGCACTTGTCGTTACAACGATGGCTACAGCGGCTACGGCCATGGAACTGCATCCGCACCCTACGAACCGAGACCATCCGTTGCCGACAAACTCCCCGAAACTCCCACGGCCGGAACCCAAGTGACCTGGCTGAGAGATCGCGAGCGTTGTGGTCCGCAACAGCCAGAAAGCAAAATCGTTGCGACATCTAGCGCTCTGCACCCTGAATCCGCTACACTGCTGGAAAATCACCTGTGAAAACCTTTTAGATGAATCTGTGGCTATCGAAAGCTGGAAAGAAGAAGACAACACAAGCTGAGTAGAAACCATGGCAATCATAAATCATAGTACTCATAATTATAGTATGAGTATCAATATGAAGAAGCACAGAAATAATAGTAGTTCTGGCAACAATAGTAATCATACTAATAATAGTATTCGTCATCATAAGAAGAAGCACAGCAATAATAATTCTGAGCCTTCTCTGGGCAGGGCAGTTTGGCTTTGCTGTTTCGCACACGACGCGGAAGCCGCGGCCCGGGGAAGCCCGGGGTCCTGGCTAGGTATGGGAGTTTCCGAAAATGGGGGGCCCTTAGGATTCCTTTAAAGGGTATCATAAGGGCTAATTCAAGGGATCTATAGGGTTCAATTACGGGTTTAAGGGTTTGGGAGTTTCCGAAAATAGGGGGGCCCTTAGGGTTCCTTTAAAGGGTATCATAAGGGCTCCTTTAAGGGATCTATAGGGTTCAATTACGGGTTTAAGGGTTTAGGGTTTGGGAGTTTCCGAAGATAGGAGGCCGTGATATAGTATCCTAAATAGTAGGCTCCTTATTAATATGGATCCCAAGATAAGGTACACCTACTTTTCGGAAACTCCCGTATCATCAGGGGTAAGGCTTAGGGTGCGTTAGGGTTTAGGATTTAGGGTGCCACGGTCCTGAGTAGTACCTTTTGTCCTTTTTTTATTTTGGGTCCCCATATTAAAGCCGAATAGTAGGAAAAATGGTACCCTTATTATAAAGTGTCTAAGCTGCACAGGAACCTAGTTTAGGGTGTAGCGGATGATATTCATGGATACAGGAATGGTGTGGATCACGTCGTCACCGTCATCACCATCATCACTCACCATAAGCAGTCATCGTACATAGCGCACGAGAGAAGCAGTACTATAGGCGCCTAAATAATTGCGTATACTATTTTCGTGGTTCCTTAATATAAGTATAGTATAATGGGCCCCTCAAACCCTATTCTAATTGTTAAGGCCCCTATATTAGCATAATGTATTCCACGAGATAAGAAGTTGAGGATTCAGACCGAGCGAGGAGTGGAAACTTGAGCGTTCGCTCCCAGTGCTTTGGATACTGGCTGCTGCTTCAGACTTCTCCAGTGAAAGCAATGCACGATTCGCAAATTCAGCACCGAGATGCCTGTCTAACCCCTATGAAGTCACCCCGTCAGAGCCTCCAAATTTCCTAGCAGCACTGGGCTTGCCGCCTGACCGTGCCGAGCACAATGGCTCTGTCTGAGGCCTAATGGCCTGATTAAAAGTACCGAAGATGAGAGCAGTGATGAAGGCCCCCCCTGCTACTGAAAAGCACATTTCGAGCTTCAACTGGAACCCCCCCCCCCCCGCCGTTTAGCATTCAAGGGAAGGCATTCGCCCAAAATTCCTGAAGCCCTAGACCCACCACCCAAACAAACCCGGAAGCCTGCAGAGTCTGCCAAGGTGCACGGCAAGTCCTATTGGTTCGTGGAACTCGAACAGATGAAGAAGGACGGGGCCCGGAGGGCTTCGGGGGCTTGCAGGCTTTCGGTTTTGTCGTGCGGCTTCGGGATCTGACTTGGGGTTATGGTTTCTGGAAGGCTTCCTGAATCAAGGCTTCCGAGAGGCTGTCTGGAAGAGATTCGTGAGTGTGTCTGGGCATATTGCAAACGAAGATGTGAGACTATAGTGGGGCCGCCTTATTAGAATCATAGTATAATGGACCCCCAAACCCCATTCCAATCAGGAAGGCCCCACATTGTAGCCTTTGGCTCCGGCGAAAGTTTATAGGGTGCTGGGATTGCCGTTGTAGTTCCGCGGTCAACTGAAGCAACCGGAGCCCCCGACCTGGCAATGTAGGGGCCTTAATAGTTAGAATAGGGTTTTGGGGCCCATGATACTATAATTCTAATGAAGGAACACCCCAAATAGTAAGAGTTTCTTGGTAGCATGCAAGACTGGAAACACTGCTGCATAGCACGATATGCTCTCAGAATCTCTGAAGTTACCGGCGCCGTCATAGAGTATTGGAGTATTGTAGTATAGTAATTGTAGTGTTATAGTGCCATAGGTTGCCGCTCTTGAACTCTTTCGGAACAACATCAGAGAGAGACATGCGCTGCTGCAACTCGAACGTCTGCCATTGGGGGTTTCCGGAAATAGGGGACCCTAATATAGTACCCTAAAGATTTAAGAGGATCCTGATTATAAGGACCCTAAAATAAGGTACCCCTAATTTGCAGAAACTTCCAATTTAAAACCATTTAAGCCCATGCAGACCCAAAAGTAAGATAGGAACGGCGGCTTCAGGGGGACCTACCTAAGCCGGGCACCGTGTCAATGCCCACCACCCAATTCCGAGGCCAGCCCCTTCCTCCCGTAGCCCTCAACCTGCAACCCTTAAACCCTGAACCCTAAACCGTTAAAGTAGAAGAGAAGAATTAAACTATCTAACGAAACCCTGCTCTCACAGAGGAGGTGGCCACCCCAGGCCGCTTCTTGGAGCATGCGAGCGTCCACGGCAATCTTTATGGCACCTCTCAAGCAGCTTTGGCCGCTCGTCCCTGGAGGTTGACGTTCAGTGTTGAGGGCTTTGGATTCAGGCTTCAGGGGTTTAGTGTGAGGTTTTAGGTCCTGGTGTGATGTTTCGGCATGGCTGAAGGTTGAGTTGCTGCAGGCACACAGAGTATGATTTCGGCAAATGTTGCGTGATTCGTTGGCGTGCAGAAATGCTGCCAGGACGGCGACCTTGTTGTTCAGCAGAACCCTAAACAGGAGATGGGTTGTTCGAGCTAGATTCGGCTATTCGATTAATTCTAGGTACCTGGTGTGGTATAGCAGGGACGCTAAGCCGCAACGCATCCCGAACAAAGCTAAAGCCTTCAGCCCGAGCTTCCCAACCACGAAGACCGGATCGCGTCCTTGAACCCTGGCGAAGGGATGACTCGGATGACGCCGAAAGGTCCTATGAGCCGAAGCAGCTCCAAACCCGTAATGCCCAGTACCCAGAGACTCCAATATCCCTTAATTAAGGAAAAGGCCTTAAATTATAGTAGGATCCTACTGTAATTTAAGGTATATTCCTTAATTAAGGGATATTGGAGTCTTTGGGTAGGCCCAAACCCCGAGAGCCTCAAGGACGCTGTTCGAGACAAGGGCCAGATTTGCATCCTGGATGTCGACGTGCAAGGAGCTTTGCCGGTTCATGCCGGGTGGATTCAGGGGCTCTGTTCATTCCTGAGGCAAAGACTAGAAAGGGTTTACGTTAGGCTTCGGGTCGGGTACAGGCAGCTCCATTCAGAGATGTGCATACGCCTCCCCATCACAGCTCAGCTCCCTACGGGAGCCTGTGTCGGAAGGACGGCTTTTAGAGATCCTTCGAGGTCTACCGGATAGGGTTCGGGCCCTTGGCGCCAGGAGTCTAGCGAGCAACTTGTGTCAGACGCTGCTTAGCTCGGCGCAGCTTTCGGAGGAGCGAAGCTGATCAAGGAGGTTCACAACGAATTCAAGTACTTGTGGCTCAGATGCAGACTGCAGGATCAGATCTGCAAGAGGTTATGATGATTGCAAACGACCACGCAGTGATGAAGTGATGTCTGTCCGCCCGATGATCTGCTAAATTAGGCTCTCGACATGATCCCCTTTCATTGTTTTCTACTTACTTGGGAGCTCAACGGCACAACGGTTGTTACGTAGTTCGCCTATGACTGGAAATCGTGTCCACCCCACAAACACCACGACAGTCACGATCATCGTAGGCAGCCGTACCACCATCACTGTCGTTATCGTCAGTGCCACCGCCGGTGACATTGCCATGATGTTCATGATCATGGTCTAAGACTTCTCGTAATCTACTTGAGCCTTCCACACGATGCGTCTGGCCGAGGTTTATTAGTCCACCGAACTTGCAAGCGTTGGAGGAGAGGCTCCGATCGAGAGGAACGGAGACAGAGGACTTTGATCTGCAAGGAAATGGGAGGTTCTGCAATTTGGGGTCCACACATTAGGGGTCCTCATAACAATTATCCTGCGAAGAGGAGTTTTCTATTACCGTCACTTATGCCCCTCACTCACTTTCTGCAAGTTCAAACCTGCCTACAGATTGGTTGTTTTCCGGTTCAGAGTCTGCTGTGCAAGGCCCGAGCCTGTGAGCGCCCAAGCGGATCACCCTAAATCATCACGCCCAAAGCCCTGAAGCCCTAAAGCCCTAAGGGCCAGGACCCGAAGAAACAAATGATAAGCTGCACCCCGAAACCTCCTTAAACCCTAAACGATCAAAGCTCATCCGGCAGTTTGGTGCAGGAGAAAATCCAGACTCGTCTCCGAAATGCCAAAGGCTCTCGGCCTGTACATGGGGACTTAGCATAATAGGGGTAATAGAAATTTTTAATTTTTGGGCATTATAATCCCTAAGAAACAGCTAAAACTCTAATTTTTGCTAGGGTTCTAAGTGCAGTATAGGGCAGAGAGAGAAGGGTTTGAGAGTTTGGGGCTTCAGGGGCCATGGATTGTTGCCTCGCTGGGTCTCCGTGCATTGCCATTCTTGTAACTAGTATTCTTACTATTATTATTATTATTATTATTATTATTATTGTTTGTTATTATTGTTTGTTATTATTGTTTATGATAATTGGTTGTTATTACTATTATTATTGCTTGTTGTTATTATTCTTGCTTGTTACTATTATTATTAATATTATCATCATCTACTGCGCTCGAGGCGAAATCGAGTTCTTCGAAAAGAACAAGGATTTCTTCACGTCGGTGGTCGTCAATGACAATCTAGGCGCACAGATCCAGCCCTACAAAAACCCTAAACATGTCGAGTCGTTGTCCCACAAAGCGTGACCACAATAGAAATGACGCAAGCAAGAAACAATAAGAGTCGCTATGCATGCCTCGGCGCAAGTTTGATAGTCACCATCGAAAGCCGGTATGCAAAAAGCCTAGGCTCAGCTTCTCAACCATTCGACATGCGGAAGCATCGGAAGGCCGCCAAAAGCTCCGAATCCTCCTCCGCAAACACATCCATACCGATGCCCCAATCCCCAGACACGACAAGCCTCCTGGACCCTGAAGATCTCACGACCCTACATCCTACTACAAAAAAAACAGAGCCAAAAACCATGTATCTTTACGCTCACGACTCTGCAGACTCCGCGGGCCAACCCGCAGGATCCTGAACAGAGAAGGAACTCTAACCCCCAAAAGCCTAAACCCTAAACTCAACGAAGCCTATGTTTCGAGCCCTCAAGGCTTCAAAATCCTCACCCGGGAACCCCAAACCGTAAAAGCGCAAAATGTACAAGTCCACAGCCCCACGTCCTGCCAAAGCCGCAGACAGCCGAAATCCTGAAAACCCGTAACCTGGAGCCCAAAAAATCCCAACGAGATCCCTCAGACAGCCCTAGCACCAAAACCCTGCTGTGCTGCTAGACGTACTGACTTGGTGGCCCAAAACCCAACTTTTCCACTTCTAGGGCTCTTACAAGGCAGTCTGACTGGAAAGTTTGAACTTGTTCCCCCATAGGTATGTGGGAAGTAAGTAGAAACAAGTGAATCATTGAAAGGCGTTCATTCCCCGTCCCAGGCCTCGGCAAAGATGGATTTGAACCCAAAGGGAGACCGGCGATATAACACAAATTCCGAATCCATTCCCCTGAGCCCCAGGAAGCCCAAGAAAACACACCACCAAAGCCCCGGAGTCTCAAAAAAGTCCTACAACCCTAAACCCCTAAACCCCAAACCGAACCCCTACAACCCCAAACCCTGAACCACTACAATCCTAAACCCCTAAACCCGAAGCCCTCCAGTCTCTCAAGCTGTGAGAAGGCGCTGCTACCTCGCAGCTTCTGGGTCTGATGAGGACATGGTATCCCGAGCTGGCCGGGCGCTTTGAAAGGGGATTAGGGCTTTAGGGTGTAGGGGAAATTAGAACAGAGGTTACTTTACAGGGATCTATAAGGGATACTATTATACTATAGGGGCCTTACTAATTATAGAGTTTCGGTGCCCTTTAGACTATACTTATAATAAGGGCCCCCAAAATAGTATTGGTTATTATTATTGAGGCCCCTATAGTTGTGCTCCGGTTTTGCGAGTCAGGGTGGGCAGAATGCTGTGCCGATCAATCTTCCGTAATGTAGGCGGGCATTGATGCCTATGTGATGCCTTACACCTCAACTGGTGTCCCTCGCATTCGTGGAGCTCGTAAGATATCCCACCTCAGCCCCGGTTCTCCGATTGGGGCCCAGCTTCCTCAACATAACACTTTCTGTCCGTAAGCCTTAGCCCTCTTAGAAGACGCCAAAACGCCGTGGTCGACGCTGGAGTGTTTTTGCGCCTCCGCCGTTGAGCTCCAGACCCCAGTAGTTTGCCAAGTTTGATATTTATCGTGAGATATGAGGGTCGCCGGCATGCTCTGCTTTAGAGCTGCGCTCCTCTTTCAAGTCGCACTCGCTCTTCGAGCATGGTCTAACCAGAGCGGAGGGGAAATCGGGCTGGCTGAAGCTCATATGGATCAGTTGGTCGTGGATCCTGATACTGATGCCCAGCTGCCTGAGAAACTTGATGCTGAGTCTCCCCAGCCCGTGAAAGAAGGAAGGTGGAGCAGATTCAAGAGCTACTTCAAGGGCTCCTACGAGCCGGATCCGGTAATTAGCTTCTCGGGGGATCCCTACGACTACACCGGCTTCTTTCGTACGTCCTGGTCGGCTGTTCCCTTATCCATGTATCGCGGTGCTCTCCGGATCTCCGGACCACTCTATGGCATCGTCAAGCTGTTGGAGTCAAGAGAGCTGCCCATTTCTTGTCCCACACTGTGGGCCGACAGAGGCTTCCATCTCTACCTCTCCGTTACAAAGCCGGGGGAAAAAATCTCTTCAGCCATTACCCATGCTGCTTTGAAAGTGTCCCACCTGTCGTTGCTAGCTCAGGTGTTGGGACACGTCTCTCGACATGTCGAACATGTACTGGAGCACGTGCACGAGACAATAGATCATTCCCATGCTGTTTATGAGGTCGGGCAGGAGGCATTCGAAGAGCCAGACATCAATGCCACGAGAACTGCATTCCAGAGCATTTTGCACAAGTTCCATCAGTCCGAGTTGCTGGTCCGGAGAGTGATGGTCGAGAAGCGAGTCGTGACGTTGATGCTAGGGCCGAAGCTCGTTGACGGGTATTACGACCTGGAGATGAGTTGTTTCAGAGTCTCGGAGGACGGAAGGTCCCAAGTTCACTTCACGAATTCCAGGGGACTTAAGGTGCCCGTGACAACGCTGCAATTGGCGGTCTATATCCTTGCTGTGGCATGACCGCGTTTCGCTATGCGGTTTCACCCTTGCGGCCGCAACCACAAGCCGCAAAAGGCACTGTTCATTTCTCAGTGCTCAAATATCCGCAAGTTGTTTGAAGAAGCCGAAGGTCAAAGGAAAGATGACACCGACACTGTCGGCGTCTCATTGTAAGTGTTTCCCCTCTCTCGGGCGGGCTGATGTCGGGCTAATCGGATGGATGATGTAATTGAGTACCGACATGAAGCCCTCATAAGAGTTGTCAAGTTATCATGAACTTCTCCCAGATGCGCTGCGGCGCTGTGTTTTGAGCTCCCTTAAACATCTTCCGGTGTCCGGCATGCTGAACAAGCCCCCCGGTGGGTCGATTGACTAGCTAGTGCTAGGCACTATTGTGACAAACATAGCACTAGAGAAGTCATTATTATGTTGTACGCTAGCTTCGCGAACAAGGTGCTTTTCCGCCGCAGCTGACGCAGCATACCAGCTCGAGCATGCAATGGCACGTGAGGGCTTTTGTGCACACTCACACACCAAGACACGCATGCACACACGCACATGTATTGATTTATAATACACACACATAGACGCGCGCACGTGCACACACATTTTTTGCTCCCATGCTGATAAGAAGCTGTGGCCTTTCTGTTTGTTTTCTGCACTGGACTTGATATGCTCTCGAGCTTGAGGTGGCTGCCCTAAACCCCTTAACCCTAAACCCAGTATTCAGGCTTGAGGATTTGAAATCCGAGTCCAGGCTGGTAGGGCTTCTGGTGTTAAAGGGATCTCGGTGATGAGGGCGTCGGGCTAGGGGTTCATGATTTTTATGAAGAAAAAGTTGTAAAGACATAATAATACTGATAGTTGTAACTAGCAATATTCAAAAGAGTAGTGATCAGTAATAATGGTAGCTGCTGGTGTGAACCAGCAGGCTGGGAATAAGATACAAGTGGAGTGATCAATTCCCCTGCACCAGAACTCCCAGACATGGCTCACACAGAGGCGGAGATTTTACACGCAAGCAAAAGACCGAAGTTAGTGCTACGTTGGGCGTGGCACCTACAACTATGGTACATGTGTTCTGTTAAAAGATGTTAAAAGCATGCTCAAGGCTTTCTGTGCTTGGGCCTACGAGCAAGAAGGAAAAACAGACATGTACACATGGCATGAGCTGCAAACGAGGCATGCACTTCAGCACTCCTCCTTCGCAGCCCCGCCAGGGAGTTGCGACCTACTTTCTACTGCAGGTCCAACCCGTCAGGGTGACGACACACCTACCCTGAGCTACCTGGCAGAAGCTGGGCCAACTGCCCTCACTGTGCGAGGGCTCACAAGGCACCTCGTGTGGAAAAGGGCACAGCTACGGATGAGCTCACTGAGAGATCCAACCCGCTAGGGTGGAGTAGTTCCTACCCTGTGCTGTGCTGGGTGTGGTCTGCAGCGCTCCCGTGGCACTGCTGGCACACTTCGAACTCAACAAACCTGTGCGAGTGGGCGAGCGTGGAACAGGTCTTAGTGCGGTGGAGCTTGGTCCCTTCGGGTGTTGCAAAGTAACGCGTTGGTGCTCCACCTGCCTGCTCACGCGTGCGAGTTGTTTGTGAGGGGCGGCGTCTGGGCGCTGCAGCAACAGACTGCGAGCTTGCTGCCTCCTCACGTGCAGAGATCTCGGCCTGGATGGCCTGCGCAGTTTGATCTCGAAGGCGCTGTAACTTGCGCGCCTTGCGGGGGCTCAGAGACAACACGGGTGTCCCTGCCTCTCGGCGGGAGATGACGCCTGGAAGGCACCACTTGAAGAACTCCCACACTGCAATGAAGCAGATACCAATGCAGATGATGGATACTGCCAACATCAAATCTGCATCAAGCGACACGGGGAGAGACAAGTCTTCTTCCTCGTCCGTTGTCTGGCTGGCAGCACCTACGACCTGAAAGAAGGCGAGCAAGACAGCGAAGGCACTCAGCTGCAGGTCTTGCTGCGCCACGGTCCCAGTGCCCACAGCTTGAGTTTCACTGTAGGCCTGAGCTTCCGCCCGGCGAGGTACGCCATGCTCAAGCAAACCCCAGATGGCTGCGAGCTCAAGGATCCTCGCAGATGGCAGTGCTTTCGTCAGAAGATCTGCGGCCTGCTCAACACCTGGGCAGTAAACAGGGATGATTTCTCCTGCCTCATACTGCTCGCGCAAGTAGTTGGCGCGCACCCTCAGGTGGCGGGTTCGCCAAGACCCGTGACCGATAGCGATGGCCAGTGCAGACTGTGAGTCAACCCTCAAAGTCTTGTCGAAGCTAGACACCCCGAACTCACTCAGCATGGCCTCTGCTGACTGAAGGGCAACTACCGCGTCGAGTCCAGCAACAAGCTCGCCTTCTGCGGTGCTGAGAGTGACAAAAGACTGTCGTGCTGAACGCCAACACACCGGCGACCCGTGAAGGAAAACCACCCACCCCGTGTGAGACCGACCCTTCTGGTGCGTAGCTGGCATCACTGTACGCGATCAAGCCTGTGTCATCCGCGTCAGCGGTGAGGGATAGCGCCTTGGTACGCTGCACATACGCAAGGGCCTTTTCTGCAATGCGGATGGCTCGTTGCGGCGCCTTCGTGCTGAGAGAGGCGAGCACACAAGCAGTGAAAGCTAAGTCAGGCCGGGTGCGCTGGCTCAGCCACAGGATTTCTCCAGTCAGTCTCTGCGCTGTTCGAACGGTCTCCTCGGTTGGGGACTCGTCCGTCAGGAGAGTGTCAAACGAAACAAGGTCACGCGGACAGGGGACCTTACCTAGTGCAGTGGGCTTCACGTTGTTGAGACGCAGCAGCTCTTCGGCGTAAGCCTGCTGGGACAACACAAACCCGGAACCTTGCACTAGGATTTCAACCCCTAAAAACCTCAGCGGGTGCTCTGCGGTGGCAAGTGCGAGAGGCGTCGTTTTCCAGATGCCCTGGATGGCCGTAGCCAAGGCTTCGATAACCTCTTTACTGCCTGCAAGCAAAAAGTCGTCAACGTAAGTGAGCAACCCTCCTACGACTACCCCGTCAGAGGTGCGAACAACACGCCACCAGTTTGGGTCCAACCTTCCTTGCTGGAGCTGCAGTTCAACTCCGTCAACAACACACCTCAGCGCCCGAAGTTGGCAGTCTCTGAAGTCCGACCAAAGCTTAGGCGACTCCCTCAACCCGTACACAGCGTGCGTGAGGATCCAAAGCTCCCCTTCCTCTGCCAAACCTATTCTCACTAACAACCTAGGCGGCGTGAGAGCAAACACTGGAAAACCTCTGCCTTGCGGGATTGGGGTCAACAGAAAAGCTGAGGTGACATCTAGAGACCCGATGCACCAATTCCTCTTGGAGCTGATGATTACAAAACAACGGAGTGTCTCTGCAGCAGCACCTGAAGCGTAGACTTCAGACCCTGTGCCGGGGGCGTGGTTGCCACAAGCGACCAAACGAGCCTTGCGTTTGTGGTAAGCTTGACCCTTCCGGGTAGCGAGGGCAGCGTCACCCTCAGAAGGGTCTGGTGGCTTGACTGTGAACACAAACTTAGACGGAACCACCTTCACTTCCTTACGCCTTAGCCAACCTCCCGAACGAACCTCTGCAGGAG